GCATAACTCTTTAACCTCTCTTGATAAGTTGATCTCCAGGCATTTGGTTTATGAAGGCACAATTGTGATAGGGATTTGATTATTTAAAAATAAATCTCCCTCTTTTTTCACTTTGTGTGCATATGAGACTTGTGCATACTGATTGTATAGCCTATCACTCAATTGGAGAATTATTTGTTTGTAGAAGTATTTGGTGTTTGGAGATATAAGGATTTTCTAAGTATAATGTCATGCCTCATGTGACTAGTCATATTTTCACTTCTTTCTAAATTCAAATCCCTGAAAAATCTCTTTATTGTCTAATTGCTGTGGCAAAGGATTTCAATATTATGCTGAATTAATAGTGGTGAAACAGTACATCCTTATATTATGTCTGGTCTTAGAGCAAAGGTTTTCAGTTTTTCACCATTGAGTATAATGATAGATGTGGGTTATAATATATATACTTTGCAATATTGAGAAGCATCCTACTATTTCTATTTTTGAGACTCTTTTATAATCATAAAATATTGTTGGATATTATCAATGCTTTCTATACATTTATTAGTTTGATCACATGATTACTATCCTTCCTTATATTCATGAGATATGATTATTATTTGATTGGCGTATCATGAGTCATTCTTGCATGGCTGGGATAAATCCCATCTGATCATGGCCTATGGTTCTCTTAATGAAGTGTTGAATTCTGTTCATTGAGATTTTGTTTTGGACATTTGTGCATTTTTGTCAGTTCATTAGGGACAGGCAATTTACTTCAGTCATATATTGTCTACTTTTATTGCCAGGAAAATATCAGCCTCTGAGAATCTTTGTAGGATTACAATTTCAATTTCTATAAAGGAGGGACGAAGCCTGAGAAGGATGGGAAAACGATCCTCTTCATGGTTTGGAAGTAATATCTAGTAAAACATTCTGGGCCTGGGCTTTTTTTTTTTCTTTGATAATAGTTTCAATTTATGTGTTAATGTTTGGCTGTTCTGCAGTTATGATTCCTCTTCACTCAGTCTTAAATGATAGAATTCCAAAGTGTATTCATTTCCAAATTTGTAGCTTAAAGGTGTTCTGATGATCCTTCGAATACTTGTGCTATCTGCTGTTATTCCTCCGCTTTCATTTCTGAGATTTGTGTTTTCTGTCTTTTATTTCCTTCATGTGTCTAGTGAAGGGTTGAATTTTTCTTTAATAAAAATTAACAGTTCTTGAATTCACCATCTTTTTGTCCATTTTGTGGTTTCTATATCTCTGATTTAATTGTATCCTTTATTTCCCTCTTTGCTTACTTTGGTCTTCCTTTCACTCTTTTACATACATAGTGCATTTAGGTATTTTCTGTGGAATTTTCTTATTTTCTGATAAATATTTATATGGCTATGAACTTTCCTCATAGAATATCTTTTAGTAGTATCCCATAAGTTCTAGTAACTCATGTTTTCATTCTCATTTGTGTCCAGGAATGTAGTGGTTTCTTCCTATATTTAATCTTTGAACACTCATTGTCCAGTTGTAAGTTGTTTGGTCTCTAAGTGTCTGAGTTTTCACCAGCTCATCTGCAGTTAATTTTCATTTTCAAAACAATATGGACTGACAAAATATTTGATATGTTTTCTGTTATTTTTACTGTATGGAAACCCATGTTGTGTACATAAATGTGGTTTATCCTATGGAATGTTTCATGTGTATTTAAAGGGCATATACACTTAAATTTTTTGAGGAACCTATCATGCTTATTATGAAATTCACATTTTCCATGTATGTCTAGTATGGTCATTGTTTCACTGTTGGTTTTTTTTCCCTCCAAGCTGATCTATGCAGTGGTGAGAGGGTAGGTGTCAAAATCACCCTAATGCAATTGGTGACAATCATTGTCAAATTTTATCCCATTCCCATCTATCACTCATTTATTATCCAAGTTATTGAGACTAATTTTTTCTTGTTATTTCATATTTAAATCTTCCATAGTGAGATAGTAATGATCATTGTGGAATAAATCTGAAGTTGTCATTACGCTAACCAAAGGCTTCTTGAGATCTGTGCACCCTGACTGGTGATCCCAAACTCTTATGACAAATATTTCTTGTATTTTCCCCTTCTCACAATGTTTATTTATTGCTAACATTTAAATGTAAGGAAATAATCCCATATTTGTATTTTGATATTTCGTTACTTGCATGTGTGAGGTCCGGTATTTGAACGTTGGCACCACAAACACAAAGAAATGGTGAGAGAGGATGCAGGTTTGAGTCCTTTTTATTTGCAAGGTCATTTGATGCAGAGTCCACAGCAAACTTAGATTAATGGTTAAGACAAGAAAGTGTTAGAAACCACTTTTTTTTTGGAAAAAGAAGTTTTTGTTTCATGAAATGAATCTGGAGCGTGAAGATTCTAAACCTTATTTTAAAGATAAAATTTTTGTGATCAAGAACTTATTTTTAAATTTTATTAAATTTTAATCAAAATTAATTTAAACTTTATTTTTTATTTTTTATTTACACCTGGCTAAACTTAGTGCTTACTCTGGGCCTCTGACTCATGGGGATATGTGATGCTGGATATCAAAGTGGGTCACCCATGTGCCTTTTCCCCTGCAGTATCTCTCTAGTTGCTCATGGTCTTAATTTTTAAAGGAGAAGTTCAAAAGTGATGCTCAGGGTCCCATAATTCTGGGGACTCCTTTTAATCATTCAAGGTTGGGGCCTGAGGATTCAGGGTTCTTTTGGACCTAAAGTGTCAGGGATCACCTGGGCTCCCCCTTTGGCCCTCCATGGCCATGTCTTGTCCAGTGATCAGGGAACCATATGGTCTCTGAAATTGAACCAGGGTCCCTTAGACATATGGAAGATATATTTTAATTCCTTTACTATCTCTTCACATCCTTTCTACATCCTTCTTGTTCTAGCACTAATTTTACGTTTTCAGGTTACTTAGTGACATTATGGTACATATAATTTGCCATTTCTTCTCTTGAAATTAAAACTAACTCAGGGGTACAGAAAAATACTTTCTTAGAATAGAGTAGTGGATTATTAACAACACTTAGGCAAGTATATATGGTTGTATTCGATATGCCAAAAACAGTAACAACAAGTCTCACAATGGAGACGTTACTGGGCCCGCTCGAGCAAATTGATGAACAACGGGAGGACAGTGCTACAGTGCCACATGAGACCAAAATCATACATTAAGTAATGAAACTAGGGCAGAACACTTCCTTTCAGTGGAACATAGATCCATAAAATGTTTTGTTAACTTTAAACCTGAGTGAACTTTTTTTACATTTTATTGAATAACCATGAGATAGTTACAAGCTTTCATGTTTGGGTTGCGATCACACAATGATCAAACATTCATCACTCTACCAGTGCACATTATCCACCACCAATATCCCAGGTATACCCGCCCCCTTCCCCACCATCCCCCTGCCTCCATGGCAGACAATATCCCCATATTCTCTCTCTGGGCTGGAGCAATAGTACAGCAAGTAAGGTATGCCTTGCACATGGCCAACCCGGGTTCGATTCCTCCTCCCCTCTCGGAGAGTGCAGCAAGCTACCGAGATTATCTCGCCTGCATGGAAAATCCGGGCAAGCTCACCATGGCATATTCAATATGCCAAAAATAATAAACAGCAAGTCTCACAATTTGTTGTGAGACATTACTGGTCCCGCTTGAGCAAATTGATGAACAACAATTGGAAGACTCTCTTTTCTACTTTTGGGCATTATGGTTTGCAAAACAGATACTGAGAGGTTATCATGTTTGGTCCATTACCTACTTTCAGCACATATTTCCCATCCTGACCAGTTCCTCCAGCCATCATTTTCTTAGTGATCTCTTCTCTATTCCAGCTGCCTTCTGCTATTTGCTCATGAGGTAGGTTTCCAGCTATGCAACGATCTTTCTGTTCCACGTATCTACCATCCTTAGGTGTCAGCCTCATGTTATATTGTTTTATACTCCATAAATGAGTGCTGTCCTTCTGTGTTTGTCCCTCTCTTTCTGATTCACTTCACTTAGGATGATGCTCTCCATGTCTATCCATGTATAAGCAAATTTCATGACTTCATCATTTCTCCTACTAGCTACATGATATTCTATTGTAGAGATTTACCAAAGTTTCTTTAATCAGTCATCTATTCTAGGACACTTGGGTTGTTTCCAGATTTTGGCTATTGTGAACAGTGCATTTTTTTCAAGATATGAGGGACCAGTATTTTGAAGAACATTAAGAACTTTTAGTTGATTCAAAAATTGAACAAATTTTCGACTTTTTATCTATGAAAGGTTTTGAGTCCTTTTTTCCCTTTGCTTCATTAAAAATGATACTTTCTCACAAGTCTGGGAAGTCATATTAAGGATATGTTCGATAACTCTAAAGTCGTCTTTCATAAATAACAATCAGAATAAGTGTTCCAATAATTTTTTTATTCAAAGGAATTTTCCATTACCTTGCTTGGTAAACAATTTTGCACTGTCTGGGAGATTAAAATATAAATACCTACATTTAGTTTTCTATAAGCTCAGTAATAGTTTGAGACGATAAAATACAAGGTACTATAGAATTTGTATTAGGAAAGAATTTTTGATTCAAACACATGAGTGTTTGCACATAGGATTAGGTATTCTATATTCAAAAATTATGTATAAATTAAACTTTAGGTATCCAAAGTTTGAGAAGATGGAAAAATTTTTCATCCCTGTTACAGAAATGCAGTATAACTACACATTTCTTTTTGTTTTCAGTTATAGAGGAGCAACTTTCAAAACATATCAGAAACATGATGCATGAAGAATGACTTTTAAATGCAACGTGATCATTATCTCTTTCTATGCTTATTGCTTGCATTGATTTTTGAATAAACCAAACTGTGTAGGAAGAAGTGATTTTAATAGTAATTACTTATACCATGCAATTGCTATTGGTCAATAATATCTTCTTTAGGAGCTTTGTTGAGTTCAGTGGAGTATCCAAGGCAATGTTCATTTTCTTTCTGTTTCCAATGTTCTTGACTGCGGATTACAGAGCGCCTCCTATTGTCTCTAATACAACCTATGTCTTAGCCTGGAATGGCCCAAGTGAACAATGTATGCAACGCCATGATATTTTTCTGGATATGAGCATCTATTCATTAATCGGAAACCCCAAATTCGGTGTCTCACGTCAAAATGTTACCATATTTTACATCGAAAAACTTGGTATGTATCCCTTCATTGACTTTAAAACAAAACAAGGAAAATATGGAGTAATTCCTCAGTCAGCAGATCTAAACGCACACTTGAAAAAGGCTGAGAGTGATATTATCTATTACTTACCCAAAGATGAGTTGGGGTTGGCTGTAATAGACTATGAAGAGTGGAGACCTCTCTGGAAAAGAAACTGGGGTGACAGAATATTTTACCGGAGGAAATCAATTGATTTAGTTAAGCAAACTTCTCCAGGCCTTTCTGATGAAGCTGCCGAGCCTCTTGCCCAAAGACAGTTTGAAGCGGCAGCAAAGGAATTCATGCTGAAGACTTTGCAGTTGGGAGTGAAACTTCGACCAAACAATTATTGGGGTTTTCACAATTTTCCTGATTGTTACAATCATAATTATCATAACAATAAAAACTACACTGGATCTTGCCCTGAGATAGATAAGCAAAGAAATAATGAACTCAGCTGGTTGTGGAATGAAAGCACTGCCCTTTACCCAACCATTTATTTGACTACAAAATTAAAGCAGACTCCACAGGCTGCATTGTTTTCCCGTAATCGCGTTAACGAAGCCATTCGGATTGCTGAATCATGGGACAGAAATAATCCACTTCCGGTTTTTGTATACATGCGTTCAGTTTTTATTGATAATCCCTCAGAATTTCTTTCCGAGGTAAGTAAATCACGGTAGGATAACTACAAGAAATTTTTCACAATGATATTTAATATAATTGGCCTGCATTCTTAAAGGGAGTAAAATATATCTTTATATTTTTTTACTTATTTATTTATTTATTTATTTTTGAGCAAAAACCTGCTGTACTAAGGACTTGCTCCTTTCTCTGTACTTGGGATCACTCCCAGAGGTGATTGAGGGACCATATGGGGTTCCAGGGATCAAATCCAGTTCTACATTTGCAAGGCAGGCGCTCTGTTCTTTTAAATGTATTTCCAGCCCTAGATTTTATCTGCTTTGCTTTCTATTTTTAAGCTACATCTGACAGTGTTCAGGGCACATTTCTGGCTCTGCACTCAGGGATCACTTCTAATAGGTCTTAGAGAATGCATGAGATGCAGTGGATTAAACCTGGGTGCGAGGTTAGTGCCTACCCAACCGATGATCCCTCAGCTCCTAAAATCTATTTTAATAGCTTTTAGGAACAAGCCTACATAATTATTTATCAATACATAATTATTAAATAAGGCTCTGACTAGTTTATAATTTAATCATGCCTGCTGTGCAGGGAAGAAGATCACATAGAGAATGAAGTAACTCGGTTTATTTAACTTTGAAGTGCCTGCTTTCTTGACAATAGAAGAAATTAACATAATGACAAGTATTTTGGATATAGGTGGACAATAACTGTGTAAAATGGTTACAAATGATAGGAAGACAGTTAAATTATTGTTGGCTCAGCACACTTAGTCATGTCACACTTTTCTATGAATGACATTTTCATATGACCTCTGTTAATTCTTTCTATCCTATTTGCCAGATTGACCTTGTCAATACAATTGGTGAAACTTATGCTCTTGGAGCCTCTGGAATTGTAATATGGGGAAGCTACACTATAGCCCAAAATAAGGTAATTTGAGTTAATAGTAAATAGATGGAAACATTTTGTTTTTTAATGTATTGAAATTGTGATATTGAGTAATGAAATAAGTGTTATGCTTTGGCACATAGTGATGGATGTTCAATTAAAATAATTGAATCAATCATCCTAGGTTTTGTACACATATTTAATAAGGGAGAAATATTTCACTTCTTTTATCAGTAAAAAGATTAGTCACAAAATTAGTTAATAAGATGAAACAAACATAAAAATTAAAAGTGAAATTGGTTAAAATACTCTAGACTGTTTTGAAGAATCAAAAGTAAAATTATAATCTCAATTTTCTGACATAGTGTAGGATAATTTCTCTGCTACCTTGCATAGAAATAGTAATACTCTTAAAAGAATTATTACTATTTACTATGCATTGGCTAAGTTTTTGCTGAATAACAATAGTGTATTGTAGAGATTAGCCAATAATGACCATGAGTCAAATCTATCTGACTTCTTTCATTGTTCTACTACTAGACTAATAATCACTTAGATTTACAAAACATATTAAAAGTTCAAAGTAATAGTATCTTATAAAATGTTTTAGAATTTAAATTAAAATTTAATATCTGTTAGTTAATAACAGATCAATATATTCTATGTTAATATATTTTGGGGGACAACATAAACATGCTTGTTGCTTGTTGGTTTTGATGTCTATAACTGTATGTGTTAATAATTCAAGCCTAAAAAGCAAAAGGCAGAATCTATATAATTATACAACCTGAAAAGTTTACCCTCTGGTCCTTAATAGGGAAAGAACATGAACACTTGACTTGTTAAAGAATAATTATGATTAGATGACAGAGAATTTAATTAGGGGCCAGAAATGTAACTGTGAACAGAGCAAAATCCCTTCATCAGATGGCTTCATTTTCATGCGATACACAAATAGTCTGTTTCGTGGTGATATATGCCACTAAGAGCAATGAAATTAGTATGGTAAGGTGTGAAAGAAAAGAGTGAGTTGGATATTTCTATGTGAGGTAGTCATATAATGTGTCAATCTGATGGGATGAAATTGAAACAAAATCAATGAAAATTAGGGACCATGTTTCTGGACATGAGTAATGGCCTTGAAATTAGAATGTACTTTTCAAAAAAGAGGGAAAAGGGTCAATGTGATGGATGAACAGTGTGGAAGGAATAGAGTAGTAAAAAATGTTGCCAGTTGAATAGTGCCATGGAGAAAAGTTAATAAGATGAAACAAAAATAAAAATTAAATTTTTATTTCCATGGAGATTGTCTAATGATGTCTTTGCAAAGATTCTTTCTCTAGTAACTGTAGAGAAAAGGCTATTCTGTAAGACCTGAAGAGACAACGTATTCTATTGTCCATCAGAATGATCATGATTTTACCTTAATTATAAAAAATACTTAAATAACTGTAGTCTTTAAAATTCTTTTACTATGATCTCAGTCATTCTTTCTATTTGGAAAACTTTTATTTTCTCTGATTTGATCACCAAGTAACAAAAAGAACAGAAAAAATGTATTTAGAGAAAGTTATTTAGATGCTTATGAAAATAGTTATTTTAGAAAAAGCTTTTAGATTTCAGGAAACATATAATAAAAATTTGTTGTTGTTTGCACCACACCCAATATTGCTCAGGTCTTACTGCTGGCTCAGCAATCAGATATTACTCCTGGTTGGTCTCAGGGTATAATATAGGGTTCATGATTTGAACCCAGTTTGGCCACATGGAAAGCAATCATCTAGCCTTCTGTAACATATTTTGGTCTAAATTAAAAAATTTTAATTTAAGTAATATTCCGACTTCCTCTGCCCCTCTCGGAGAGCCCGGCAAGCTACTGAGAGTATTCGATATGCCAAACACAGTAACAACAAAGTCTCCAATGGAGACGTTAATGGGCCCGCTCGAGCAAATCGATGATCAACGGGAGGGCCTTTACCTTTACCTTTTCTGATTTTCCCCAGCATATCTCCAACTTTATATCCTCCCCAAATTTATATTGTTATGCTCATTATTCTATGTGAAAAAAACATTATAAATCCTCCATGCAGCTTCCTTTATGTAAATAGTACTGTGAACTTTAAACTTAATGAATAATAAAGAGACATTTCCCAATTAATACGACATGATAAAGAATTTAATTTTCTACCCTTAATATTTTTATTTTTATCTTAAATTTTTATTATTTTATCACAATTCTCAGAACATCTACAGTATTATTTATGAAAAAATAGTTCTTTAACAGTTTTTTTTGGTTTTGCACACCCATTTGTGCTCAGGGATCACTCCTAGAGGAATTTTAAGAACCATATAGGGTGCCAAGGATAGAATATGGGTTGATCACATGGAAGGCAAGTGCCTAAATCACTGTACTATCTCTTTTGCCCCTGTCCTTCAATGTTAACATGACTGTTTTCTACCAGTGACACTGTCTCACTATTGTCACACTTGAATTCATTACATATATTTCTCTTACATTTTTCAATTTATTTTTATTTGAACGCTACCTCATTCATTGAAAAATTAGTTTTTACTATTCACGTTCTTTGCCATCAATAGAATCTTGTTTTGTAATGTTTCAGTTGACTGATTGGCAATTTGAGAAAGCCAATAATTGTAATAATTGTGAGTTAATAAATTAACGGTTATAGAATGTAAGAAAATCATGTAATTCCATTTTGCTTTATTTTGTTTTATTTTTTTGGCATGGGAAGATTTCCTGAGTGGTGTTCATGAGGATTCCAGGTGTGCCTCAAAAGATTTAGGGGCCTCTCCCTATGAGTTTGCTCAATCAGAACAGCAGTTCAATGCTAGTGCTGAGAAGGCAGTGCTGTGTGTGTGTGTGTGTGTGTGTGTGTGTGTGTCTGTGTGTGTCTGTGTCTGTGTCTGTGAATGTGTGTCTGTGACAGAGATTATATAGGTGTACTAGAGCCCTGGGACACTGTAACAGGGTTCACAAGCATTCACAACCACATAGAACGATGTTGCTGGCACATGGAACCCTTGTGAATAGCATTCGGGAACCCTTCCCATCCAAAAGAATGAAAGATTCCTAAATTGATTTATATTCTAGTCAGTGGTATATTCTAGTCAGTGGAATTAGAGCTATATCCTCAACAGATAGGCCCAGACACCAACTCAAACTAGCACAGTAACCTTTCCCCATACACAAAAAATTCATCAAATACTGAGGAAGGCCAAAGGTAAGGTAGATTAAGTTTCACCAATAATAGCATGTGATATTCACTTAGAGATGATTACAAAACATATTTGAAGTAATATTTCTTATTACACTAAACAAGATTAATTTTCTATATTTTTGATCTGCTTTTTGTTTTTCTTGCTTTCATACTCTGTTTATAAAGATAAATTAATTCACTTGTAAACTAACTTGTTCCTCAATATTCTGAATTTCCTAAATATTTATAGGTTGCTTGCCAGAAACTACAAACTTATGAGAGGCAGATACTGAGTCCTTACTTAATCAATGTCACTCTAGCAGCTAAAATGTGTCACCAAGCACTCTGCCAAGATCGAGGATTCTGTACCAGGAAAAATTGGAATTCAAATGACTATCTTCACCTGAACCCAAGGAATTTTCTTATTAAGTTTGCGTATTGTGACAAGTTCACAATATACGGGGAGCCCTCAGTTGAAGACCTACAGCAGTTTTCTGACAAATTTGATTGCACCTGTTTTACCAATGTCACTTGTAAGAAGAATGCTGAAGTAGAAAATATTAAAAACATAAGGGTATGCATTAATGAGGAAGTTTGCATATCAGCCTTTGTAAACCCAAGAGAAAATCGCAAAGGCGTTCGTACCAGAAACACCAAAGCAACCACCACAACCCTCACCATAAGCCGCATCACAACCACCAGAACCTCCACCACCACCACCACAACCACCACCACAACCACCACCAAGAGGCCAAGGATTTTCTAGTCAACTAAACGGCCTCACAGAATCTTCTCTATCACATAGACTAGTCTTTTCTTAAAATCGCATAAAACGTACCCATTGATGTCAGAAGAGTCATCCTCAACAGCAACCAAGGAAAAGCTTTGAAAGTATATGTACACTCTCTCTATTGATATCCTTTACAGTATAATATTTAGCTTATTCAGATTAAATTTTAGTAGCCCCAGTTGACTTTATATCACTTTGATATTTGAAATGTGACTAGAGAATGCCCCTAATAACAGCTTACTTTTTTTGTGAGGGGAGAATTGGCCCATATCCGCGATGCTCAGAGGTCACTCCTGTGTCACTGCTCAGGAATTAGACTTAATGTTCTTTGGAGAACCCTATGGGATGCCAGAGATGGAACCAAGGTTCACCAGATACAAGCCCTTTCCACTTTGCTATCATTATGACCATGTTTTTATCAAAACATTTTTCGTAGGTAAAATTTTTCTTAAATTATTATTGACTAATAAATTAAAACTGGAATGGGCACTTACCTTGCATGGGGCTGACCCCACTTAGAGCCTAGCACAGCAAGTTGCTCCCCCAGCACTGTCAGGAGATTTACATGAAATAACAGGCAAGAATAAGCTTTCAGCATTGTGATTGTGATCCTAAAACAGAACAAAATAAATAAAAATTCATTGTACAATTTGACTCTAAATATATGAAAATTGATACTAAATTTTTGTTTAATATACTTTGGAGTTTTAATCTGCTTATTATATTACCAAATAAATTGAGTAAGAGGGTTTCCTGTCTTATATTTTCTATTTATTATACTAAGTTAAGGAATATTTTCTATGTTTTTCATAGCATATCTTGTTAGAGTAGTCTGTTTTATTCTTCATTGTGTCAAAGACGATCAAAAGACCTATTACAATTTGAGGTCAAGATTATCTCTTAGAAAAGTAAAGATTTTGACAATACAAATTTACTGCAAATAAACATACAAGCACTTTGCAATCATAGTAACATGTTGCAAATTGTTGAGATAAAAATGATTTATAAAATGCTTTGTTATCATAATACAAATTGTTTCTATGTATCATACTACTATTATTAGTTATATAATATTTATGATTTAACTTGTATTGAATAAAATAATTTTCTATTCACTGAATTATTCATTATTGGCTATTGACTTTTACTCAGTGTATTTTGTATTCAGAATTCATATATAATATGTATGTATAATACTCATTTTTGACTTTTGATTGTCAAATGTGAAAATCCTATGAACCTAAATTTCCTATTTTCTCCTAGTGTCAGTGCCCTTAATAACAGTTTACTTTTGGTGTGGGGTTTGGGTCACACTTGGCATTGCTCAAGTTTTACTCCTGTTTCTGCTCTCATTAATTGCTCCTGGCAGTGCTCAAAGGACTCTAAGGAATCCAGGAATGGAACACACGTTGACCGCATGTAAACCCTACCCTCATTTTTATCATTAATGCAGTTAACTTTTTTAGCAAAAGGTCTTTCATAAAAAAGTTGTCCTTGAATTATTATTGATCAATAAATTAAAATTTGACTAAGGATCTTTATTTCAAAATAAGTGGGTAGAGACATAATACAATATTTTAACCATTTACCTTCTTGTCGCTAGCCCCAGTGAGAACCACAGCACAATAACTAATCCCTCAAGAGTTTAAAGGTGATATCCCTGAGCAGAGGCCAGCAATAAGCCTTGAGTATGTGGCTACGGACCTAAAACACAACAACAACAGCAACTAATTATAGTACAGTTTGAATTTAAGTAAATGAAAACTGATATTGGATTTTGATTGAATCTGCATTTGGTTTTAATACCATAAAATTGAGTTTGTAAGAAAAGGTCCTATCATATTTTCCAATTATTATGTACATATTAAGAATATTTTCTTTACTGTTCACAATAGCTAAAATGTGAAAACAACTCAAGTGCCCTAGAATAGATGACTGGTTAAAGATACTTTTGTACATCTACACAATGGAATACTATGCAGCTGTTAGAAAAGATGAAGTCATGAAATTTGCTTATAAATGGATAGACATGGAGAGTATCATGCTGAGTAAAATGGGTCAGAGAGAGAAGGACAGACATAGAAGGGCTGCACTCATTTGTGGAGTATAAAACAATATAACATGAGGCTGACAGGTAGGTAGATACATGGATGGTAGATACATGGGGCAGGAAGATTGCTCCATAGCTGGAAGCCTGCTTTATAAGCAAAGGGCAGAAGGCAGCTAGAATATAGAAGGGATCACTAAGAAAATGATGGTTTGAGGAACGGGTCAGGATGGGAGATGTGTGCTGAAAGTAGATAATGGACCAAACATGATAACCTCTCAGTATCTGCATTGCAAACCATCATCAAGTAAAGAGAGAGTATAAGGAATATCATTTGTCTTGGAGGTAGGGGGAGAATGGGAAATGGGGGGGTATATCTGGAATATTGGTAGTGGGGAATGCACACTGGTGGAGGGATGGGTGTTTGATTATTGTGTGATTGTAACCCAAACACGAAAGCTTGAAACTATCTTATGGTGATTCAGTAAAACTAAAAAAAATAAAAAGAATATTTTCTTTATTGTTCATAGCATCTGTTAGAATTGCCTATTACATTTCTCATTCTATGAAATACTAATTAAAAGACCTTTAACATTTTGTGGTTAAAATTACTTCTTAGAAAAGTGAAAATTCGAATCATACAAAATTATCACAAATAGATGTAGAAGTAATTTGCAATCATTACAAAATGTTACAAAATGTTAAGGTGAAACATTATCTTTTTAAATGCTTTGTTCTAATAATAAAAGCTCTTTCTACACATAATCTTAACTCAATTTAATAACTATTTGATTTTTTAGAATTTTATTTGTATTGAATCAAAGGAAAATTTCTATTTATTAAATTATTCATAATACTACAAACTTTTACCCTTGGCGTAGTATTAATTTAGAATTCATGTATCTGAGTAACTACCCCTCCCCAACAGGTCTGTTCCCATTTGGATACCCCCAAACCCAAACTCGGTACCTGGAAAGCCAGCCATGGCTGGGACCCGGGCCTGGGGCACCTGCCTCCATTTCCACAGCAAGTGCCAGCCTAATTAGTCACTGCCCCTCCCCAACAGATCTGTGGACTAGCATCTGGACTGTCTAGGGGCATGACCACCACTGTAGGGTGTGTGGCCTCTTCAAAGCAGGCGTGGCCTCCTCAAAGTGGGCGTGGCCTTCTCCTTGGCTGCACTTACATTTCCCACTCCCTGTAGTCTTGATTATCATCCCAGCCTTTACCACCTAATTCTGTGGAATAAGTCCGGGCCATCTCAACTACAACAATTATCCACTGGCCTGCTCCAATTCTAACAAAAGACCAGTAAGACCAGTACACAAAAAGCTGTACAAGCCCAATATTATAAGAGCACCTACTCCAAGCTTCACTAGATGCCCATCTTAAGACAAAGAATAATGCCTGAAAGAAAGGTCAAACTCTAGAAAGGGAGAATGGTCAACACCATCGACCAACCCTATCCACAATTCTTTCCCATAATAAGAGGGAACAGTGATAGTGATTTCCAGGGTTTGACAACTCAACAAACAAAACAACATAAAGAAAGAGTGCAAATCTCCACTACAAGGAAAGGATAAAGAGACAAGTCCCGAATCCTCAATTGGGGTTATCCACAAATATGCTCTCTCTGATAAACAAATCTGAGATGAAATGCAGAGGTTGATCAAGGAAGTACTCAAAGAATCAATGGAGGAGATATCCAGAAAAATAGAGGAAGAAATGAAAGAGATAATAGAATGGATAGTCGAGAAAATACATGAAGAAATGAGAGCAAAAATCAAAAAGCTACAAAAATAAGTCTCACAAATAAAGGATTCGGTAGATGAAATTAAAAACTCAGTAGTGCCCTCCACAGTAGGATGAATACAGTTGAATACGGAATGAGTGAGCTTGAAGATCACTTGATCAGTGGACTTCCCATTAATCGTCAATTTGCTCGAGTGGGCGCCAGTAACGTCTCCATTTGTCCCTATCGCGTGCTAGTGTAGCCCAATGGCGTCTGTTCATTATAGGAACACGAAGAGCCTAAAATTAATCATTCATGACCTTGATGAAGAAGTCTGGCCATCTGGTAGGTGGGCGGCCAGCGGTCTTTTGACATCCCACGGAATCCAGTTGGTAACGGCTCTAGTCCAGCGGTCATCTCTAAATCTCATTATGTGTCCAGCCCATCTGATTTTTGATGCCTTGGCAAACAAGACAGTGTTCCTGATTCTTGATCGTCAACGGAAGTCGGAACTCTGGATTCTTTCTCTCATTTGAGAGAAACGTGATACTGCAAGGATAACTCTTTCAATTCCTCTTTGGGAGACCCGAATAGCGTTCTCATTCTGTTTGTGTAGGGTCCAGGTCTCTGAGGGGTATGTTAATGCAGGAAGAACAGTGGAATCAAAGAGATGTGCCTGTAGCTGAAGGATCTTCATCCTCTTAGCTATTTTTTTTATGCTCTTAAAGGTGTTCCAAGATGCTCTCTTCCTCCTGCGCAACTCAGATGGCAGGTCATTCATCATGTTGACTTCTAGACCTAGGTACAAATAAATGTTTCATTCAGAGATGGTTGTTCCCTTGAGAGAGAATGGAGCATCAGGAACGAGGCTGTTTCTTATAAACATTGTCTTCATAAAATTCAGCTGTAGTCCGACATTTCCACAGTCACGGTCAAAGTCGGAGAGCATTTGTGCCGCTTGGCAAATGTTTGGTGTTATTAAAACAATGTCATCAGCAAAGCGGAGGTGGTGTAGTTGCCAACCATCTATCTTCACTCCCATTCCTTCCCATTCCAGTCATCGCATGATGTTCTCGAAGGTGGCACTGAAGAGTTTCCGTGAAATGGTATCACCCTGCCAAACCCCTCTCTTGACATAGATGATTACTTCTTTGTAGAATGGTGAGATCCTGGTAGTGAATTCATAATACAGCTCAC